GACCTAATTACTACTTGGCATATAATTTAGGCACCACAGTTTGGCAGAAATAAATGGTTTCACAATATGGCTGATGTCGGCACCACTTTATTGGGAAAATAGTCTAAACTGCATGGCAGATGTCAGCACCAGTGCACAGGAGAAATGGGCCCCACTACGTGGCGGATATATGTACCACTCCGTAGCAAAAAGGGTACCACTATGTGGCGGATATATGTACCGTTACCTAGCAGATACATGCACAACTACAAGGCTGATGAAAGTATAGCTGACAATGGGTCAGCCTATGTTGTGGATATAAGCACCACTACATAGCAGAAATGAGTCATTACAGACTGACTACAGGCATCACTGACATAGCAGATAAAAGGCTAATAGCATAGATACTAGAGACTACAATGGTTTATCTTCAAACAAGGCTGTTTCAGCCCTAAACTATGCAATTAGGTTATAATTGTAACCTAATTAAAACCAAAATGATATTGGAGGACCACTCCATAGCAGACATGAGCCATATACAAGAAGCCATTAAAGAGTTGGAATTATAACATCATTCTAAACAAATTGAGAAAAAGAATCACCATATAGACTGTGCAAGCCTTAGACTGATTGATGCTCTGGTGCCATGAACCTTCCCGCTCATAAACATCAGCATGATTTAAAAATTATAATCTATATAGTCTTTGTTATCATTTCCCAGGCTCATAGACATAGCAAAGTTATTGTTGGAACATGTGGATTAACTGTTTAACTTCATATATGCCAGTATCGATCATGAAAGGCATTTACATGTACTTGTAACATCAGTATTTTTCAGTTATTTTGGTATGTTATGTATGTATTTTGTCTCTTTACGTGTATGTTTACCAACCAGTGGAAATCAGATTTCCTGATGCAGACAAGAAATAATGTACTTATAATTATACTTATTTGAGTTCAAAGTAACATTACATCAAAAGTCTGTCAGCCCAACAAAATTCTCTCTAATGAGGTCATATGCTGACGATGATGGTCCAGATTTAAATGTCGGCCATGCCACGACACTTTTTATATTTGAAAAACTGATAGATTAGCTTTATATCTAAGTGAAAATAATAATGTAACAGTTCTGTGCCTCGGAATAGAATTGTCTAGATAGATGGCGCTGTAGAAATGTCTATTATTATTATTAAGACAGCATGCAATCTTAATTGTAATCACAAAGTGCTACATGTCCATATGAGAAAATAAATTGCAGTGAAGACTGATTACAAAATAAGTGTCTTCATTGCTTCGTTTTGTTTTGTGTTTTGTTTTGTTGCTTAAATTGTTTCCTTATTTCAAATTCGGTGTGATGTTCTTACCTTCTTCTCCTCTGCTTTTCTCTCTGTCATGTCCTTGGTAAATGTGCTTTTCTTGAACCACTTAGTGGAGCTAGCTTGCAGTCCTTACATTGTCAGATGTTTGCTTGTGAGATGAGCTGAACGGGGATGATGAGTCTGTTTGGCTGGCGGGCTTCTCTTGAATGTCGTTTGCTTGTGACATGAGCTGAATGGGGATGATGAGTCTGTTTGGCTGGCGGGCTTCTCTTGAATGTTGTTTGCTTGTGAGATGAGCTGAACGGGGATGATGAGTCTGTTTGGCTGGCAGGCTTCTCTTGAATGTTGTTTGCTTGTGACATGAGCTGAACGGGGATGATGAGTCTGTTTGGCTGGCGGGCTTCTCTTGAATGTCGTTTGCTTGTGAGATGAGCTGAACGGGGATGATGAGTTTGTTTGGCTGGCAGGCTTCTCTTGAATGTCGTTTGCTTGTGAGATGAACTGAACGGGGATGATGAGTTTGTTTGGCTGGCGGGCTTCTCTTTAATGTCGTTTGCTTGTGAGATGAGCTGAACAGGGATGATGAGTCTGTTTGGCTGGCGGGCTTCTCTTGAATGTTGTTTGCTTGTGAGATGAACTGAACGGGGATGAGGAGTCTGTTTGGCTGGCAGGCTACTCTTGAATGTCGTTCGCTTGTGAGATGAGCTGAACGGGGATGAGGAGTCTGTTTGGCTGGCGGACTTCTCTTGAATGTTGTTTGCTTGTGAGATGAACTGAACAGGGATGATGAGTCTGTTTGGCTGGCAGGCTACTCTTGAATGTTGTTTGCTTGTGAAATGAACTGAACGGGATGATGAGTCTGTTTGGCTGCCGGGCTACTCTTGAATGTTGTTTGCTTGTGAGATGAACTGAACGGGGATGAGGAGTCTGTTTGGCTGGCGGGCTTCTCTTGAATGTTGTTTGCTTGTGAGATGAACTGAACAGGGATGATGAGTCTGTTTGGCTGGCGGACTTCTTTTGAATGTTGTTTGCTTGTGAGATGAACTGAACAGGGATGATGAGTCTGTTTGGCTGCCGGGCTACTCTTGAATGTTGTTTGCTTGTGAGATGAACTGAACGGGGATGATGAGTCTGTTTGGCTGCCAGGCTACTCTTGAATGTTGTTTGCTTGTGAGATGAACTGAACGGGGATGATGAGTCTGTTTGGCTGCCGGGCTACTCTTGAATGTTGTTTGCTTGTGACATGAGCTGAACGGGGATGATGGGTCTGTTTGGCTGGCGGGCTTCTCTTGAATGTCGTTTGCTTGTGAGATGAGCTGAACGGGGATGATGGGTCCGTTTGGCTGGCGGGCTTCTCTTGAATGTCGTTTGCTTGTGAGATGAGCTGAACGGGGATGATGGGTCCGTTTGGCTGGCGGGCTTCTCTTGAATGTCGTTTGCTTGTGAGATGAGCTGAACAGGGATGATGAGTCTGTTTGGCTGGCGGGCTTCTCTTGAATGTTGTGAGATGAACTGCTCAGTGAGGAGGAGGAGGTTATCTGCAAGGTAGATGTCCAGGTAGATGAATAGACATCTTCAAAGAAAATTGATGGGTACCCATTGATGAAAGAGATGTGGAGGCAGTAGGAGAAAGATGAAGCAAGGTAGAGAGAATGAGAGAGAGAGATAAAGATAGAGAGACAGACAAACAGAGAGAGGGAGAGAGAGAGAGAGAGAGGGAGAGAGAGAGATAAAGATAGAGAGACAGACAAACAGAGAGAGGGAGAGAGAGAGATGGGTAATAGGGAGATGAATGACAGCCTACAATGATTATAAAAACTGTGTGACTTTGTAGGTATTTATTTTGGTACATCCACCAGCCAAGCTAGCAAGCATGCACGTACAGGGGGGGGGGGGGGGTTTGGGGGATAAATGCCCCCTAACAGAGAGAGAGAGATACCTGGAATTCCCGCTGAACAAATTAAAATGCAAACAAAACAAACAAAAATCACATTTTTTAAAGAATTAGCATTGATTGGATAAGAAGTTCCAAAGGATACCTGAATAAACCAGTTAGCGTGTTTATTCGTATTAAAAAAAGAAAATTAAAATAAATTATTTCATGACGCAAAGTTATTCTGCGTCTGCACAAACCGATGTGGGTTCAAAGACCTTGGTCTTTGCTTGAGCCTTGTTCATCAAAATCATTTATTTACTTTCCTTTAGGGGGGAGGTATTGAGTTCTGGAAAGGGTCAGGAAATTGTCCATTTTATCTTCCAACCTATTTGTAATGACACAAGATTAATCAATATAAATTTTTGGGAAAATTGTGATTTACTGCTGTGTTTTATCACAATAAAAAATAAAAAAGATAATAGTATAATGTGTAATGATAAGGGACCACCTTGAAAGCGTATTATGTGGCTAAAAATTACACTATTTGATAGACCCCTTCAAAACAATTCATCCTAAGTTTGTTTATGTTATAATACTTTAATCAAATTTCTCAATTAGATTATTAGAACTTTCTTACCCTTCCCAGAACTCAACCCTCCCTTTTAGTAATCAAAAAGAGCAATTTTGGCTCTAAAAGGGCCCTTTTGCCCCCTTGATTATGCATATTTCACCCCTAACGAGGCAACTTGAAAAAACACAATATTGGCTTCAGAGGGGCACTTTGCTGGAATTGAAGAATAATTTTTTGACCATGACAGGGCACTGTATATTACCACATTGGGCAATTTTGGCTCTAGAAGGACACTCTTGCCATTTGACAAAGATTTTTTTTCTTCCCCTGACGGAGAAAAATTTGCATGGAAGCCCCCCCCCCCCCCCCCCCCCCGCCCTTTGGAACTTCCTGGATCCGCCCCTGACTACTAGAAGATACGCTGAGTAAGACTGGGTCAGTGGAAGGTCGTATTACCTTAATCGAGGCAAGCTGGTCCGAGTAAGAGGATATGGTCAACTAATGGTGTAAGTCAAATATTTATGGGATATTTACTGCTGCAGGGATTAACTTACGCAGACTAGGAAGCCCCTGTCTGAACATGGCTATAACTTTATTATGATAATTTAACCATAGAGTAAGGATTTTGGTATGCTTCAACAATGTCCTTTCATTCTTTTAACTTATTAGAATATAAAATGTGTAAATTTACTTAATTACTGTTACTACTCAATGCTCAAGATATGATTTATGTATATTTGATGAATTACTGTGCAATGCTAGATAGATAGATAGACACTATTATAGATATAATACAAATATACACTGTTCTGATAAGTTCTGGTTAAAACTATGGCCAAAGAAAATAGTCACTGAGGCCCATAGTTTTAACCAGTACCTTGAAAAGAAGACAGCTAGGGTATATTATTTTTGTTTTTTAAATCCTGTATAAACAGCAACAAAATGTATTTAAGAAGAAAAGAAAAATTGTTAAAATTATAATTTCTAACATTTTAACTTCTTTTTTTATTTAAACAAATTTATACAAGTTTAGAAATGTAAACATTTTGATGAAATGTTTAAATTAAAAATTAAAAAATTACCAACAACAAAAAATTTCAACTCCCTAATAGTATTTTCCAATTAGTACCTTTTCAGAGCAACCTTAAAATGGTTAAAATATTTCTGGTCACATGACGAGCTCTCAATCAATCTAAAACTAATCAATTTTTGATGCACTGATATAGATATGTCATTTACTACCACTTTTCATGATCCTTACTCTTCTCAAATAAGCACTTACCTTCGATAACGATGTACTTTCTCTCCTAGCCCTCCTGCTATTCCTGAGGGACTCTTTCCATTCCTCAGCTATGCTTCAATAGGTTCCTCACATTCTATGAATTGAGAATCATTGAGATGTGGTTATTTATACTATAGTTGTATTGTATAATTTTGTATTTCATATGTATGTCTATATTTTCTGTAAAATGTGGACCAATAAAACTTGAAACTTGAAATGTCAAGAAGTGCATACCATTGTATGTTGTCAATAATTAGATCATCAGAATATACTGAAGTTGTGCAAAATACAAACTTTCTTATTGGCAATGATTCTACTTCCATTTTATGCAATATACTTACAATGCTGTGTGCAATAATGCAGAACAAACTGCCTTGTTGAATCTCTTGAGCACCGTAGCCCTTTAAGGGTCATAGCCTGGCAGCGTGGGCGTCGGCGATTTATCATCTGTATAATCCTAGTATGATGAAAATACATGTAAGATATAGTTAATACACTTAATATACTTAATCGAATGATCAAGACAAATGAATGACTAAAATATTTCAGTTATATTTCAGTAATCTGTTCACAATGATAACATGAAATATCGAAATACAAAAATAAGTTATGGAATATATATTATTATCAAAGTGTGCCTATACAAAAATCATATCATATCTTTCTAGTAAATGTAATATATGGAATTGCTCTTTAATAATTCTTTGAACAATTTCTAATTAGTTTGCTAAATGGTTGTTTGGTATATGTTCATTTTGTAATCACTGCATTGGTAATTCATATTCCTGTGATCTCTTGACTTATGCATCAAGAAATAATTGACACTCTGTTCCTAAAATCTAAATGATGTACATAAAAGAGACCAAATGAGGTGAAAGTGTATTTGCAGCCAATATGTCTGTGAAATTATTAAACTGATCATTCAGATTTCAAAATATTTCAAAATACATGTATAAGCTGAAAAACTCTCTTGATAAGAAACATGGGTGGATAGTGATTCTTTACAATTTTGATATATTTGGATGCCTCTGTGGATGTATTATAAGCACTATAAAATTTAGCCCCTAAAACATTTCCGCTTTCAAGAAAAATTAAATATAAAAATTTACCGGTGCTCCCGGTAGATTTTGATAAATTTCAAATAGCGCCTACGGCCGTACAATAGCTAAGACCATGAAAATCTCAGAATATGTAGTTGTGATAAAATGTCCAAACGGAAACAGCTAATCAATTGATTTAGTCAAGAAACATTGTTTTATAGCTTAATTAATATCTTGACCATGAAAATCTCAGAATATGTAGTTGTGATATATAATTTCCAAACGGAAATAGCTAATCAATCGATTTTAGTCAAGAAACATTGTTTTATAGCTTAATTAATATCATGACCTTGAGAGGGAGCTATATAATAAACTTCCACCTTGTGCTGTTGATCATATGACATCATTTGACACCGCTCTCATTCAAAAGTACAAAATTATTAAGTCAACTTAAATTTCTTCTTCCCATACTTTTATTGATACATTTATATGACAAACTTTGCAAACGTTGTTGGTCCGTATTACTTGCTCTTATTATACTTTTGTAATGTTTTTTTTATGGAAATGTTACATTTTGTTGTTGTTTCATTTTCTCATTCATGTATTGTGTTGAATTTCATATTTATATGCACAGGGCCCTAAAGGATAACAGTGACTAAGCCACCTTCGGTATGATAAAACAAAAACATATGAATAACTAATTTTTTTAAAGTAAATATTCAAAAAGATTTTCATGAAACTGTAATTACTTCATCAACTTAGGAAGTTTTCATCCTTATAACGCAAGCTGTGATGTAGGAAACAAAACCAAGTATTTTTTTATTTTTTTAGTAAATAATGTTTTACATTTTCAACTGTTCAAATATATATTATTAAGATTTAATCAACAAACACTAAATATGAATTCTACGATTTTCTGAAGAAAACAAATAATTCTGAAAATCTATCGCTTAAAATAGAATGGACCGTTCCCATGCCCTAAAATTATTTGATATGACCCCTTTTTTTCTAGTAAAGCAGGAGAATTCTTGTGACAACTTGCCACAACATGTTTAGGGTACAGATACGCTTATTCTCCTTGGATGTTGTTTGTAATAAAGCCTTAAAAAACAATCTTAACTTGTAGTTCTGAAATGTACATGAAGATTAGGGGATATATTCAACCAACAATTCCATACAATTTCCATCAAGATCTGTTGACTACTTTTAAAATCTTGTATCGCTGTTGAGAAACCCCCTATTGGGTTATATAGTTTTGTCCGACCCTATTGTTTGAGTACTCACTCTTCCGCCGTGTAAACATCTCGATGCTGGTAGCACACGCGGGAGAGGTGTCTCGTCTTCCACTTACACCTCTCCCCGGCCCTTGTCCTACACAGGCACCAGTGCGCTACCAGCGCCCACGGCCCCACGTTCACATTGACCTACGGCGGCAGGCGGCCCGTTGTCTTGTGGATACTCCATAATAGACTGCAAGGAGAAGAGAAAAACTGAGTGGTCATTTATTAATCTTATTAGGCCTGTACTGTTTTTATGAGATAATCATTGTAGCACACATTCTTAAATGAGCAAGTTCTAGATTTCTTTAATTGATATATGCTTGTAATGTTGTTCGGTTCCTCAATATAATGTTTACATTTAGATTACTACATACAGGCATTCCTTTTAGTCACAACATATTCAACTTTCTAAATTTTTTTCTTCATTGTTTGATGTGAATGCTCGGGCCATGCTCTAGGGCCATGCATCTCAGATTGAACGTTGTTAAACGATGCCTTTAATGCGATCTCACAAATCTTTAAACTTTTCTAGTCCGCCTCATGTAATGTCTGCACCCCTAGTAAAATTCTATTTGTTACGGGCCTGTGACCTATGTATGTAGGAAGGCCGGAGATGGCCTTTGAATGAGGAAATGTCTCCCCCCCCCCCCCTCCTTCATCGAGAAATCATCGATTATTTGACATAATCAAGAAGCAAAGAATGGGAGGGGCTCAGGGGGCTAAATGAGGGCTCCTTAGCCCTTCACCTGCTTAATAATAGGGTTGCAGTTCTAACAGATAATTCCTAGCACTCTTAACACAGAGGCAGCCCAGCAGATATTTTGTAGGATTGATAACTACTGGCTAACTGACCAGGTTTTAATGTATAAAAACATTACTGCATTCTGTGTAGCATTCCACATACATTCCATGCAAAGTAGAAGAAACAAATTAATATTCATAAAGTCACATACAAGTATAAATCAACATCACAAAGTATCTTGAATATTCAAACATAAACAATAAACAAAGGGTATAAATATTCATAGTATATGTAAATTATACTTTAAGCTTAACTGCATCAGGTGAACATTGAACCAATCAGAGAGAGAGAGAGAGAGAGATAGATATATGAAAGGAAAGTGGATGAAAAGGGTGAATGTGAATGAGGGATAATGAAAGGGATGAATCATGGATATGAAGGGGAGTTTAAGAGTTCAAAATAAATCCCTACAAACTAGTCTTCCTATTACAAATAAAATGTCCTCATTTCATAATCTCAATCAAATGTCTTCATTATCGTCATTAATCATCCCATTCTATCTTTGTTACCAGCATCATCATAATATTAATTTAATCAAGATTATTATCATAACTTTCCTCATCATGATTAACTTCAACATTTTTGTCGTCACCATCATCATCATCATCATCATCATCATCAACATTCACCCTCTATATTCACATCAATTCATAAATCAATGAGCTAATTGAGGTTGGTATAGTGAGGGGAGGGTTGTTGATTCCTGTGCTGTTATCGACCGACGTTATCAACATGCACACGAATATCCTTCCCCAAAACTTGTTATGGCTTATTTTGTAAATTCTTTAAGTGTCCTTTTCCCTTTGGATATGGGCCCCCTTTTCTTCTCACCCTAAAATGTACTCTTAATTTAAAGCGACTAAGAGCATCTTTTTCTTTCATTTCACCCAAAGCTCGCTCACTACGCTTGCATTTTAAGTTATTATGATTTTGTTTCTTATATAAAGATCTTTTAAGTCTTTCATGATTAGGATTTTTCCTCCCTCTTTATAAGATGTAATTTTTCGCTTTGCGACTTCACAAATTAAAAAATTGAAATCTTAAATTAAATATTCAGACCATCAGACTCAACTGCAAAGTATGATGCTTAACCCTTACTGTACTGAGCTATTTTGAGCACCTCACTGACTGGGGGGGGGGGGGCAAGGAGGCCCCCCCCCCCACTACGATCTCGGCCATTGAATGTCCGAAGGACACAAAAATGTGCATGTTTGTAGATATTTACGTCAGGAACAAGATGGTATAATTAGTTTTTTCCTACTAAGCAAATTTTTGTCGTCATAGCCTAATTACTATATGCTAATTATTATAATTACTTATGCAAAATGCTAATTTTATGCATTTTACAGAAAACATATTTGTCTGTAGACTTGTGAATAATCTTGAAAATGTATTGAATAAATGTTTCCTTCATCTCAAAATGTTTTTCTGAAGAAAAAAAGTTCGAAATTCATCATTTTATTTTCTTATGTATTTTATTGTTGTTTTATTTCTAATGTATTCTTTTGTTCGTGAATACATCAAGTTACTTTGAGAAACATATAAAAGCAATTTGATATCAATTCATATCTCCCACTTAGGAAGAAATACATCGTCCTAATCTAAACCTGTATTCACATTTCTGCTTGTACATGAATATATATGCAATTATAGCACTTTTTAATGACATGCGCATACTAATTGTTATGTAACACCTTACAGGTATATCCAATTTCAACGAAAATGGTATCAAAATGTGCGTAAGACTTGAGGGAAAAAAGTCATGAAACGACAATTCAAAATTCCAAGCGGTTGCGGCGCAATCTCCGAAAATGTCGAGACAGTAAGGGTTAAGCAGTATCTTGGACCATGTGCAGAGAAAAACAAACAATGAAATCATCCCTGATAATCTAATCACAATGTAGGGGTATCATATGGCCTAAAAATGTCTATAAATTGTATATTTTTGCTTTGAGGTTTCCCTTTGTGCGTGCCCCCCCCCCCTTTTTTTCCAGAAAGTGCCCTTTTTTGTTGGTGCCCTTCCCCCCCCCCCCCCCCCTTTTAAAGTCGCTCTGCCAGGCTCTCGTCCATGGTGAGAGGTGATTGTTAAATCTTGAAGAACAAAACATGCAGGAAAAACTGAGGTTTTTTAAAGCTAGGATATCGAAATTCGAGACGTGAATAACCCCCTCCAACACCCTCTTCTGTTCAGTTCCTTCGCTACCTTGCGGGGTCACATTAATGATGCCATCCAATTTCTAAACACCCCCCTTGAAAAATCCTGCGTATGCCACTGATCACTAGTATCATTATTATCAACTTACTGATTACTTCTAGGCTAGGTGTTAAAATTAAAACAATTATTCTCAGATTCTAATCGGGCGACTATACACACAAACAAATCAACGATTCTCTTTCAGTGGGGAAGGGGGAGGAGACAAGTGTGAAGCTTATAAAACCTTTGACAAGCAAATAAAAAGGTCATCACATTTCTACATGTTACTTTCTAGGTGATTTTTCTTGATCCAAGTTGTCTGATGAAGCAAAAGGGTAATTACCGTATTTGCCGGCGATAAGGCCGCACCGCCGCATAGGCCGCACCCCCAACTTGGACATTTCAAAGAGGAAAAAAAAAAAAAAAAAAAAAAAAAACCCAACGGACAAAACAAAATAATCGTAATTTTCTTGTAAAACACTATTTTTTTTACAAACTGATACCAAATTCATCAATATTCTTATAATTTACCGGAAGTTTAGCTCAAAAAGTGATCGCGGGCAGATTTGGTGTCCGATACCCCTACCACAATGTACGGTGTAATGCGAAACTGCATGAAATGGAAAAACAAAATGGCGACTTCGAATGGATGCTTCGCGGCAGCTTCGTTAAATGGTCCCTTCCTTTACTTTTGCAATGCATTGGCACGAACTTAGATCAAGATCTATCGGTAAATGTTGGTTTAGCAATTTATTTTCGTATTCATGTCAACAATGCAAGATAAAACTGTCGGTAAGATGTGTTTAAATGTCTTGTACAATCTAGTTATTGTACCGTTAGTAGATCTAGTCCCATACGTGCAAATTCGTGCTGGTTTTGACTTTTTTTTTTTTTTTACTCTTTCGTCGTAAAGGCCGCACCCCAACTTTTTGATATTTTCTCTTCCAAAAATACTGCGGCCTTTACGCCGGCAAATACGGTAGTACACTTGAAATTAGGGGCGCATTTGATGGTGAGAGGAAAAGATGACACTTATCAGAAAAAAGAAGCATGTGTCAAAGTACAAAGAGTAATTATCAGGGGTGAAAATGGGGCACTTCTTACACCTTTAAAATGCGGCGCTCACTAGGGATGAAAAAAGGCACCAAGATTAGGAAATGGGCATTTGCCAACAGAAAAGGGGCACCCATCAGATATTGATAGGGGCATTTATAAGAGGTGAAAAGGGGCATTTATGAAAAGGGGATAGGTCCCTTTTTAGAAAGGAAAAGGGGCATGTACCATTGTTAAAAGGGAAATTATCAGAGGTGAAAAGGGGCACTTATCGCACCTGAAAAGAGGAAATGACCAGATATGAAAAGGGGCCCTTATGAGAATAAAAAAGGGGCATAATAAAGGAAAATGTGCATTAGTTGAAAGAAAAGGGGCACCAATTAGATTTTATTACGGGGATTTATCAAAGGTAAAGGGGGCACTTAATCAAAGTGAAATGGACTCTGGAGTAACTTCTTGTACCTGAAAAAAGTCATTTACCAGAAATGAAAAGGGGCTTTTATGAGATGGGAAAGGGGCTCTTTTTTTAATGGGGGCATTTATCAGGAAAAGGGGCACTTATTAGAAAGGAAAAGGGGCTCATGTGAAAATATAAGGTTTGCTTATCCGAGTTAAAAAGGGAGTAGTTATTAAAAGTGGAAGGGGCACTTTCTACGAAGGAAAAGGGGCATTTGTCAAAATAAAAAAGATACCTCTCAGATTTGAATAAGGCAATTATCAGAGGTGAAGGGGCACTTATCAGAGATGAAAATGGGCACTTATCAGAGTGCTCTGTTTGTGTATATATATATGTATGTTACATGTAGGTATGACAGAATGGCAGGGATTTTGCTGGGGGGGGGGGCAAATAACCATGCCAAGTCCTTCTATCAAATATTAAATTAGGGCCGCATTGAGGATCTAGGCCTACTCTTGATGCCATGGGCGTAAATCTGCAATTGATACCTATTGTTCAGGGGGGGGGGGATGATCTATTCATTCATCCCCCCCTGAACAATAGGTATTACGTAAGGATTTACGCCCATGCTTGATGCAAGGAAATGTAAATATTAATCACTATCAAAATAAAATATAAATATTTAAAAAATGAACAAATTATTTTTGGACTTGGTTTGTTAGTATTTGTCACTAAAACTTTGGGTTGCTAATCCAGGATCCCACCCTCTGTGCAACAAACGTGGCATGAAATATATATGCGAAACCCTGAAGATGAAATATTTAATTAATATTCATCAATAAATAATAACTAATATAAATAAATAAAAATGAACAAATCATGTTTTTTTATTCTTTCAAAGTTTCAAACCAACCAATGGCAAAATGAGCCGTTAGTAGGCCCCAACTTGTTTTTAAAGGCTGGCTGTACTAGTTCAGCCAGAAGGGATTAGACCACCCAGCAAGGTCACTGACAGGTGGCTACATAGCTCATTAAAAATTCAGCTCTCAATTAATAACATAAGAAAAAGAGGATCATGGTGGACCAACAGGCACCGATTGGGGAAGTTTTCTATATACTATAGAGGGAGCAAGTAGCTACAAGTATAGTGTGGCTTTAACAAAACTTTTGGTTCCTATCCGGCATTCGATTTAAACGTGTCTTCATGTACTGGAGCCAAAAGCTGCACGTACACCATGCCACCATCACCATCACCCTCCGGCCTCCTGCACAAACAATCGCCTGCTGGTATCGCACACACAAGATCAAACACGAGTACATCACTTTTCACAATCGACTGTATTGAAATTATTGATTGTTACCGTCATCCAACAATGCTTGTAAATGATGTAATTCCTCTCATCATGTCAGCATCCCAGTCATAACCTGAATCCACTTTGGAATCGTCTTTAACGTTCACGTTGAGATGTTGTACCCCATTACTAATATTGGATGACAATGAATCTGGATATCTGGCCGGTTTGGTACCATATTAGGCCATCGGGAGACTATTCAGACTGGTCATCACGTGCTACGACTCCTCCCTACGTACCCTCGAACAAACTTACTCCAGCAGCCGCAAGGCCACACCTTATCTCCCACCCATTTGGCCAATGAAACTTGATTGCGAGTTTCCCGTCACATTTTTTTCAGCTCATAGTGGGGCAACTGTTTAATTATTCATTATTCATTATTTCCTTTTTACGAACACTTAATTCACCTTTGTTGGTTAAACCTGTGTATTTCCAGTTTGTTAACTTAATTAATGCATGTATGAACATCGCATTATACACATTGTTAGCATATCTTGTTTATTTTTATTAATACAAACATCAATATTGTAAAAATAAACCACACATATACATGCTATAAATCCAAATAGAACAGTACTATGTCCCATACTCCCATTTGCAGCCAACATCAAATTCTGTAGAACATTGCAGGAATTATGAATATGCCATATGATGTATATCCTATCTGTGAAATTTAACCGTTAGCAGTGTCTTATTATCCAAATTATGCAAGGAAACCCGTTTACTTTCTAGACTTCACAGTCAGGCACTATTGAGTGACTGACTTTTTCCCCTTTAGTAACAACATACTTTACATAAACTGAGCTGTAAAGGTACATGAGTATTAAAAAAACAATGCTTCATGGAATTTTCCCAAAAAACAAGTCTATTTGTAACAATAAAAATTGCAATTCACAACGGTAATACACAAGTCGCTCCAACAAAAGTTTTTTTTTTTTTAAGTCTAAAAAAAAGAAAACTATTTTCAGATTGAGTCGATCGCAACACGTACGGGCGGTAAATCATTACGCGGGCGGCGGGCGACGGGAAACTCAGAATCGAGTTATAAGGGCTTTAATAATTAATATAACCTATCCATAGTCTGAAGGCATAGATTCTACTTTGACATTTTACTGCAATCGACCATTTTCGTAATGTAACCAAATCTAATGCATACATACGTCTTTGTGAAGTGCCTACATTAATTGTTGCTAGGTAGGACAAATTACATTAGGGCTTGCCAAGTACCGAAAAACACGTTTGCAATTCGCATTCTGACTTTTGAAATAAAATTATTCGTAACAGGTGCCGGGAACAGATGAATGAAATAATTCGTAACGAGGCGCTTCATAATAGGCCATTTTCGTAATGTTAATACATTTAATGCATAAGACTTTGTGAAGTGCCTCAATACAAATTATTTCATTCACCTGATCAGAATAATAGTATTTCAATAGTCAGAATGCAAACTGCATATATTAATTGTTGCTAGGTAGGTCAAGCCATAATGTTGTTCTACCTGGCAGCAACTAATGTATGCAGTTCGAATTGAAATACTATTATTCTTATCAGGTGAATGAAATAAATTGTATTGAGGCACTTCACAAAGACCCCGGACAAAGACGTAGGCCTATGCATTAAATTTGGTTACATTACGAAAATGGCCTATGAAAGACCTTCGTATGCATTTAGTTTGATGTATTACATTATAGAGGCTACGAAAATAGCTATTATACAAAACAAGCAACAATTAAATAGACCGGTTTACACATTAAAATCCATGCATATGCGTACGTTTCCAATAAAAGGTTATTCTTGACAATCTGAAAGCTTGCCCGAGGCTTGCCCGATATGCATGTAGCAACAAGCATAGGTGTCAATCCGGGGGTGGTCAGGTGGACAAGCCCCCCCCCCCCCCCCCAAAAAAAAAAAAATAATAATAATAATAATAATAATAATATTAAGGGTGGGGGACACAATAGGGCATGTCTCTTCCCCCCCCCCCCTTTTTTTTTTAACTTTAGAGATAAAACACACAGTATGCGCTCTAAATTAGGATTTTGATCAAGGTTAACAATTAAGGGGCGTGGATCGATCTGTTCTCTGATTGCCGAAAACTGATATTAGTATTATAGATCACCAACCAATTATTCGCGCAGATCTCGGTGGTGAGCTAAATTGAACTCCTTGCTCCACTTTGACAACCTTTCAAATGTGCACCACGTTTCTGCTACAGTGTGAACATCATGCGCATACATAGACTTTCAAAGCCATCGAAATAAGTATTTTTTTTGCCTAGAGGCTAGACTGTAGATTTGGGAATTTGTCATATTCCAACAAACGCTTACAAATGATTAATTTACTAAAGAAGTGAGGATAAATCCCGAAAAATTATGTAATTTCACTGGTATCGAATTAAAAATAAACCACGTTTGAATTGTATTCGGGGGCAAGCCCCCCCCCCCCCCCAGCCATCAGTACGATACTGGTGACCAGTGGCGTATCTGGCGCTTGGTCTCGTTGGGGGGGGGGGGGGTAAGAGTGCGCAAAAGCATTTCCCACGCTTATCATTATATCGAAACATAACACCCACATTTTGTATAGAACGTGGGAAGAGGAGGACTTTCACCAGGCCTTCACTCGATCCCGCCCGAAAAACTTTCTGAAATGTTTAAGTCCGTACATAGCATTATAATGGCTAAATTTTCTAAATTCAAATTTTGTTCGGTAATGAATTAGGTTAAGTTTCTGTAGGTGTCACTCCCTCGAAACCCGCCCTAAACACTGAGTTTTGTGAATCCTTATCACTTTTAATAACATACGTCGGCCCGACGCGTCGGCTCTTGCAGGAGCCGTAAGAGTTCATATATTATTCCTCAGCAATCATATCAAATAGGCCGTTATGTATCTGAGATGGCCAGATACTGTAAATCAATAACCATTTTTTATTTGTTAATACAATCAATACAAATTTCTCAATAGGATCAGCCTCAATATTTTTGTGTGAAAACAGTGTCGTACGTGATACAATAAAGATGTCGAGCTCGGTATTAAGTTTCTCAAAGTAGACTTTATTGACCTGTAATATGATAACTATAATATGATTACAAGTTGTGTATTATACCATTAAGAACCAGAATGAAAAAGACTGGTTGTTTACTGTATCAGTTGAACCCCCCCCCTCAATTTCTTTATGTGTGTGAATTTTTATGACCCCCCCCCCCCCATTTAAAAAAAAAAAAAAAAAAACGCTACTGCCTATGCCTATTTGCTTAAAATCACACTTTTTATAAGACATATCTATGTCCGTTTTATTCATTTATTAGCTTCTTACTTAATTTTGTTCTTCCTAATTGATGCATATGAAACGTTTTATATCATATATATTTATGCTTGTTATTTTTAATTGATGCGCTAGCTTGTTATTTAGTACATGTATGTCATATTTAAGTAGTTTTTCCTATATATTTATTTATGTATACGTATTTATGATCTGTTTTATGTTTTTTTACACGGACTTGCTGAAAAGCAGTTTTTTTAGGCTGATGTGAGTTTTACCGTGAATAAATAAATTTAATTCAAATTCAATTCAATTTCACAAGACAATATGAATAATTCTAACGATGCAATTTTAATGCAAATGTATGATCATTCATTTTGCGTTTCTTTCTGCCTGAAAAATATTTTTCTTCTGTATTTAGTTTTGTTGCTGTTGTGAGTTTATATTTTATATCATTGTTATCAAACAGGAATAAAATAATAAATAAATAAATGCATTTGTACAATGATAGTTGTACAATGATGATAGAAGAAGCGATAAAAATCGCAACTGATCTTCCCTTCTTTTATTCTTCCTCTTTATTTCCTTTACTTTCTCTCCTTTTCCCTTCCCATTCCCTTCCCATTCCCTTCCTTCTATCTCTCTCTCGTTGTTTGCTGGGGGGGGGGGACAAGGGCCTTTCGGCCCCCCCCCCCCCCTCATCAACACTTTGTTGGCGGGAAAAATCGCAACTGATCTCCCCTACCCTTCTTATTCCTCCTTTGTTATCTTTCACTCCTCTTTCCCTTTCCCTTCCCTTCCTTCTCTCTAATTTATTTTCATCCCTGTATTATATCTTAGAAGAGAGTTTCCTGGTTATCGTTATCTTTACTCTGACACTAAATTATCTATGTTACACTATAATTTTGAAATTCGTTATCCAATGTATAAAAAAGTTGAGAAAAATCCTATTGGTTAGGATTGAAAATAATAAAATTTGAATTTGAATTTGAATTTAAGTTTGCTGGGGGGGGGGGGGAGGCAAGAACCACACGTTGTTTGGCGGGAAAATCGCAAGGGATATCCCCTTCTTTTCTTTTCTTCTTCCTCTTTCTTTTCTCCCCCTTCCCTTCCTTTTTTTCTCGCTTGGGGGAGGGGGGGGGGGGGGCTGAGTCAACAGCCTGGGAGGCAAGGCCCTTTCGGCACCTCCCCCTTTTCTTTTCTTCTTCCTTTTCTTTCTCTTTCTCTCTCAAGTTATTTTTTGGCGGGGGGGGGGGGCAAGGTCCCTCTGGATCTGCGCCTGGGAGGGGGAAAGTGGGTGAGAGAAAGAGATACAGAAAGAGAGAGGGGAGAGGAAGAGAGAGAGAGAGAGAAGGGGAGGGGAGAGAGTGAGAGAAGCGGGGGGGGGGGGGAGCAGAACCGTGACAACTGACAATCGGATGAAACATAACGAAATGAGAGCTAACTGGTAATGATGCTTGGGGAATAGAAAATGACGCATGCTATAATTAGAAGAAGATTGTATCGTATCGTAGGCTATTTAATTAGTTGACACCACTGCAGAATGCAAAGAAAGTGATGACCAGAGATGAAATCATAGCCGACATATTCATGATAGTGACTAGCATAACGTTAATGG